ATTATTATTATTATTATTATTATTATTATTATTATTATTATCATTTATTTTTCAGAAAATCAAGTTAATTTGTAACTCTACTAGATTTACAATATACAAGCCCGCATGGGTGTAGCTCAACTGGTTCCGGAGGTGGTAAGTTGGTGCAAGATTTACAATATACAAGAGCTCAATGGGCCCAATAATTATATCACTGGCTTAAAACTTTAATAAACAAATATTTTTTTTTTTGTAATAATTTCTTCCACCTAAAACCTTCCGTTAAAAGATATATTCTTTTGATTAAAAAAAAAAAGTTTCTATTATACTTTTGATTTTAAAAAATGTTTTAACCTGCATTTGATTTTTATGTTTTTAAAGATAAAATTATTTTAATTCTTTTGGGACCATTATGACCCTATAACTTAAAAATATATTTTACAATCCACTTAAATAACAATTCTAATTTATAGTTGTTGATTTCTATTTAATATTATCAGCAAAATTTTCTTGTCTTTCTGTCAAATTCATCAGCCTCCAAATGGAACAGTTGAAAGAATTAAGATATTTATAAAATAAACTATTCTTTCTTAGCATGGAACTGTTTTAATTAAAGTGTCACGTTTATTTTTCTCTTTTGTTCATTGGAATTTGATCACAAGTTATATCTGCTCAAAATTATAAAACAGATAAGCAATTAATTATCAAACATCCGATCATTCTAATTATGGCAACGACAGCCAAAATGCTAAAAGATAAAAGGTTTCTCTTGTAGACTTTAGTTTAATGGGCAAATTACGGCCACCTCCTTAGTATAAGGTCAAATTACGAAAATAATCAATCTTGTTTGGATAATTACAATAACTTCATCAACTATGTATTGTATCACATGTTCACACTCACGGTGTCAAATTTACCGGCTGGATGAGGGGTTTCTTCGTAAGAAAATACATAGTTGAAGGAGGTAGTTGTAATTACTCAAACATGAGGTTTTTGTTTTGTAATTTGATCTTACCTAAGGAATTGGCCGTAATAAATGCAATCATGTAAAAGTAAAATTTTCTTACTTTTCAATCTGAAAACTAAAAACCTCGTAAAAAAAGTCGTAATAGTTACTCCCTCCGTTCGATGAAATCTATCACTTTTGAGATTTTTTTTTTAATTTTTGTCACTTTAGAATTTCAATACTCTGTTAATTACACAATTTTCAATTTTACTTTATTAACTCTCTCCAAAACTCTCTCTTATATTAATTAGTGGTCAAAGTTATTTTAGAGTAATAACATACATTTTTTGAAAATCAACCATATTTAATACATTCTTTACTTCTCATACATTTTTTTAATAGCAAATTGAAAACCAGCGTTTAGAAAAATATATGGGACTTAATTCACACAAATTATTTTTTAAAATAGCAAAAAATAATACATGGAATTCCACATTCCACACTAGAGAAACATAATAAAAATTAAATGTTCAAATGTGCCCAAAGTCACATGCAAAATTTTGTGGCATGCACTAATATTTAAGCATGAATAATTTACCTCATTTTATTTTATTTTTTGTCTCTTTTTTTTATTGATATATCATGAATAATTTTACCTCATTTAATTTTATTTTTTGCCTCTTATTTAATAAAGTAAATTTGGATTCTCTCCAAAAGGGAATGTTTCTCACCCTAGTTAGCCCCAACCACCCTCGTGCCCTTATAAAACATTTCGACATTACAAAAAAAAAAAAAAATCATTTCAATGCAAAGTGACCATTTAATTTCTACACACTGTCCTAAATTTCACTCAAATTGGGAATATATGTCATAATTAATCAATTTACAGTATAACCTCAGATAATAAAAATCTTCATTGCTTAAATAATAATTCTCCCGGTCTCGACTCGATG